TAGTACTAGTACTAGTCCTACTACTAGTACTAGTAGTACTACTACTACTACTACTACTACGACGACGACGACGACGACGACGACGACGACGACGTCTACTACTACTACGACGACGACGACGACTACTACTACTACTTCTTCTGTTACCACTACTACTACTACTAGTAGTAGTAGTAGTAGTAGTAGTAGTACTAGTAGTAGTAGTAGTAGCAGTAGTAGTAGTAGTAGTTCTACAAATGCTACTAACGTACTACTGTTCATTATATTCCGACGTGCTCTCGAGGGTGTGTCGGACTACAGGCCGCCCGCACGAGTGCTGTAATAATAGTTCACACACTGCACTGGTAATGCGAATGATAATGTCAAGAAGATGGTGTTTTTCAAGAATACTTTAACTATTTCTTCTAAATAACAAAACCAAACCTTGTCATCATACTAGCACCAACCAAAAGATATACATAATTATCATACCGGTACTAGTACCACTAGCTCAACCACAAACATAGAACACCAATAACACCAACAATGATCAATGGCAACAAGCTGGAAGCCCAGGCCGCCAGTCCCATCGGGAAACCTCCGGCTCTCTACGCCAGCGAGGGCTCCGCCCTGGGCGAGGTGCCGAAGCAGGAAACACCCAGGTCACGACGAGGCGGAGCCAAGGTTTCAGGGCGTTCTGAGGTTAGGGGTTTCGGGGTTTTACGCTTGCGGTTTAGGTTTGGATGTCGAAAGGGTTTCAGGGCTCAGGATTTAGAGTTCTTAACCGCTACACCACTAAAGCCCTTGGTCAGGTTCGACCCTCTCGCAGAGCTCGTGCAACTCCCGGCAATCCTACAATTCCGAGGACGCCACTGATTGCAGGGACGACCACCCTGTTGGCTCGTTCTGTTGCGTGTGCGTGTATGTGTGTGTGTGTGTGTTACGGTTTAAGGCTTTGGGTTTAGGCTTGCGTTACGTTTAGGCTTTTGTTTTTCTACGGGTTTAGAACTTTGAGGCTCTGGGGGTTGAGGTGTAGATAACGACTAAAGAAGGATCACGTGTGAGGCGACTGTCAGCCTGGCTGCCCGAACGCTGTTGCCTGCTGTAGGTGTAACTCAACCTAAAGACCTCCATGCCACAAGTAGCATGAGCCCCCTAAACCCTAAACCCTAAACCTTAACCCTAAACCCTAAACCCTAAACCCCCCCCAAAAAAAAACCCTAAACCCTAAACCCTGAACCCCCCCTCTCTAGCTGCATGAACCCCTTGTTTTCACCGCTTGGCCCAGCCGTGTTTGGCATATCGCAGCCAAGGGAGTCGAAATAGAGAGCCCTAGCCCTAGCATAACCGCTTTGGCTACAAGCATTAGGGTTAGGGTTTAGGGTTTAGGGCTTAGGGTTACTTACAATAGGATTTGGGGTGTAGTGTAATCTAGTGTAATTCGGACAACTATACTGGGAGTTATAAAGGGAGTTGTCTGCATTTTGCCTTGCAGTGGACCACAGAGTCAACCGACGCGTCCAAAGGGGCTAGCATTCAGTCTTTATTGGACCCCGCACCCCAAGCTCCCAAGTCCTGAAGCTTAAGTACCAATGCCAAGACGTCTTACCCTAAGCCCCTACACCCTAAACTCCTAAACCCTAAACCCTAAACCCCTGAAACCCAAAACCCCTTCTGACGGCAGGATCCTGAGCACGAGGGCCCACCAGTGTCCCAGACACGAAGCTTAGTCTCAGTGGCTGGGACCAGGTTTGTTTTTTGCCAGTTTAGGGTTTGTCGGCTTCATGCAGGGTTGAATGTAGAGGCCTGAAGAACTACCCACGGGCCATTCCGCACGGGCTCGTAGGGTAAGTCTCCTGTAGATATTCCCTGGTCAAACCCTTGTCTAATTATTAAAGCGACTTTATTGGGGTTTAGGGTTGCTTTGGCAGATTTTATCTGTCTCGCCCTTAGTAATGCCTTTTTACCGGTGCTGCCTGGGCCCACGAATCCTCTCAGGAATTGCAGTGGACAGTCCAGTGCCATGTGTTTATGGGGCTTTAATTTCATATCCTTCTGCACTCAACCCTAAACCCTAAACCGTTTGGGGGAATACTGTAGCTCGAAAGACCCCAGGCTGCATCGGAGTTGACGCTCTTGCCGCTCTGGACGCAGGAGCCGGATCCTATGGTGAACTTCCAAACCCCGAAACAATCGTCCAAGCAGTCTATGCATGTAGGCATAGACTGGTTCCCGGTTTGTAGAGACCCAGCATGTTTTGCTATAACCGTGGCGAGTAGATGCAACAATCGCCGCTCACCCTCCTTGGCTAGCTTCGTTTTGGTTTGCAGCGGCCTCCTCTTCAAGTGACAGCTGTGAACGGGCTTGCCTCCTGCTACTTAACGTTTTTGCAGCCGGTCCATGTGCTGCTGCTTCGGCTTCTGCTTCGTGACAGCTGTGAACGGGCTTGCCTCCTGCTACTTAACGTTTTTGCAGCCGGTCCATGTGCTGCTGCTTCGGCTTCTGCTTCGTAGAACCCGGGAGTGTCAGGACCATGTCCACACAGACACCCTTGGGGTTTGGCCAGCAGACACTTATGGCATTATGGGGCCCTTACAAACGCCTGTGTCCTGACCTAGACCCTAAACCCTTGCAGAACACTGTTCCTTGATGTGTCGGCAGGAGCACCGTCCCAAGTCACGGCGGATGAACAGCTCTGCACTTCGGACGGCTTGGAGAAATTCATGTGAGGTGTAGGGTTTAATTGGGGTTAGGGTTTAGGGTTTAGAGTAGCAATACAGACGGCAGTCTACTTTAACAGAGTACAATATACTGTAGTATGCGATGGTCAGATTGATGTACTCGAAGATCCTTGCCTTACTACAATGGATGATCACATGTCTCGACTGAGCGGAGGTATGCAGTAGTAGAATTCTCGTGCGTGTTTATGACCAACTTGCCTCCAAGCTCCAGTCAGCTGAGGTGATGCGAGGAAGTCTTAAGAAAAACTGTACAGGACCCTAAACCTAAAGCCTAAACCCTACACCGAAGGTCTTACTACCTCCACCTGCTGGCATCGTCATGTGCATGTAGTTTGAATCTCGCGACCTGAGACCGCATCTGGCAGGTCCGAGTAGTAAGCCTAAACCCTAAACCCTCTCGCACAAATCGAGAAGTGTACCAAGTCAAACCCTAAACCCTAAACCAGAAACTCTAAAGACCCTGCTTAAAGGGAACAGGGCTAAAACTTGAAGTCGGAGTCCAAATAGGGCCAGAAGTTAGGGGTTTAGCTTAGGGAATTTAGGGTTAGGGTTTAGGGGATTTAGAGTTTTGGAGTTTTGGCTTTTGGTGTTAAGGATATGGGTTTTGGGGGTTTGGAGCTTTGGGGTGTAGGGTTTTCGGGGGGTTTGGGGTTTTAGGACTCAAGAATCCTGGACGGGACATAATGTCGGGGCCCTAATAACTAGCATAGGTGGGTCAGGGTTGAGGGCTTAGGGCGATCCGAGTATTGAAGTTCTTGTAGCCTGGTTGCTGTTGAATGGCGCTTTCTATTTATTCGTAGTACTGCACCCAAACATTTGTGTACCGCCACGCTGAACCCTAGACCCTGGTCCAACATGCCCGCCTAATAAGGCTCTGGCGCATAATCACCTGTGCAGCCGGAAAAAGGTGTCAAAGCAAAATTCCAAAAGCACACCAAATCCTAAACCCAGAACCCTAAAACCGAAAATCTCAAACTCACCTAACTCCGAATGTTTAGCTGCCACGGTATAGCGCAAGTGTCTAGAGGGTTGCAGAGAGCTGTCGCACCATCGGGTTTTGATTAGGTCTCAAGGTTTTGAGGCCTACGAGTTCAGCCCAACACCAAGCCCTCATGCAAAGCCGGCCTCTAGCCTCCTGGCCAGTTCAACATCCCGCGGTCGAAGTCGTGGGTCAGCAACAACACCTTCACAAGCCTTGACGACCCTCGGCAGGTTTGTTCTGTGCGACATTCGGGGGGTGGGCTCATTTATTCGCAGCAGCACGAGCGAGCACCACCACCAGGACCAGGACCACCAGCACCACCGCCATCATGGCCGCCACGACGACCACCGCCAGACAAGTCGTGGCACTTCATTGCTAATGCACATACTACTAGAGTCACTAGAGTAGCAGCCGTGTTACACTTCCACTTCATCTTTCATCAGCATTCCAGTATCAGCCTGAGCCATCTGCACACTTGACCAAGTGCTTTGTCTTGCTCATGAACTCGAAGCAGACAAACAAGTCAACGAGTGCCGTCAGCAGAAATCACACAGGGCACCAGTTTGACAGGAGGAAGCGCTCAGAATTGTTCACCAGTTGCCGCAGCAATCATGGCGGGAGTAGTGACGACTGTGCTTGCCACTGCGACTAGAAGCCGACTTTGACGACTTCGATGACGACGACGACCACCGCCACCGCCACCGCCACCGCCAGCACCACCAGCAAGAACACCACCACCAACGGCAAAAAAAAGAAAGAACAGCAACAGTACCTCCAGCAGCAAAGGCAAGGACTACCGACTCGTAGCCATAGCTCTAGCGAAACTCAGAGACGTGGGAAGTACAAAAGCCGAAGAACAAGACCGCAAATGGCAGTTGTCGAGAACATCATATATCAGCAGCAAGTCTGTAAAGACAAGCGGCTGATGAGTTCGCTGAGGGCCCCAATGCCGTTCTTGTAAAGCTCATAATCCCCGTCGTCATAATTTTGCCTTTGTGACGAGCTGTGACCTACGTGCCTCGTCTTTCTGCAGCGACACTGATCATCACAGATCTGCTGGTGCTTAGAATCATCGCTCTGACAAGGGCCATTGTAATGACAGTGATTTGTGTTCTTGCTTGCTGCTAACTGCAGTGAAGATCGCAGCTATCCTCAGAGGACTATGCAGCGGCTCACAATACCACTGGCCTGCGCTCTGGTGATGTACTGACCGAGCATAGCATCATCCAGACGCCTGGTGAAACAGTCGGACATAAGGCTTTCGGGTTTAGGGTTTTGTGAGCTGAATAACCACGTTTTTCTAAAATGGACGGTAGCAACACCAATGAAAACACTGTTAGTCGTAAGGTTGACTCGCGTGCTCAGTATCCGTTAATGACTACAGACCAGCCGCTCTTGACACTGTCAATAGTCATTTTCGTAGTAGAGCTATTGGAGTTTTGTCATGGTGGAACCCTAAACCCTGAACCCTAAACCCTATTGAAGTTTTGTCATGGTGGAAGCCTCGCGGACAGGGGTGCTAACCTAAAGCTGAACCTGTAGATCAGAAACACACGCAGATCCCTGGCAAGGAAGTTCATGCTCAACCCGAGTGGGTGGGTGCGCACCGCAGCATTTAGGGCATCTGGTTTTCATGAGCTGTCAGGTTCTTTTGTGCAGGATGGCACAGAAAGCAAGGTTTTCATGCAATGAACTGAGTAGCCTGAGTTTTTGTGTTGGGCTTGCGGTGTGAGATGCTTCCGGGATGGTCTTGAATCCTAGAGTCCTCGAGCTTGAGTGCCTGGGTCTAGGGGACTTCTCGTTTCGGCTTAGGTTGAGTGTGACGACGTTAAGTCTCGCCAAGGGGGCGATTGCATGGGTCATTGCTTCAGGGACTTCTCTGCGACTCTCGCTACCTTCAGATGGGTCCGCACAATTTCTCCTTGTTTGTGAGAATCTCATTCATTTCCTGTGGAGAGACCCGAGCATGAGTTTATGCATGTGGTTAGAAGGCCGATTATCTAAAGAAGGCCCCCAGAAGTCCTACCTTCCTGGTTGGGCATCCTTTTGTCTCCATAGTATCGATTGTTGGGGAGTGTAGCATGCAACCTCGAATGCAAATCTCAACTTGAACCCTAGGCCCTGTGCCCTCTTGAATCATAATCATCAACGCCTAAGTCCTGACATGATCCACAACCTACGACTCTGAACACGGCCAAATGCGGAAGTAGGTCGGAAGGTGTTTCTTTTGGTCTGCTCTGGTCTGGCCTCGTGCAGGTAGTCGTGGTTGTCTACCTAGGGCTTTGGGTTTAGGGTAAAGGGTTTTTTAGGGCTCCCAAAACCCTAAACCCCCAAGCTCTAAACTCTAAGCCCTAGGCCCTAAGCCTATGGAAAAAGGCCTTCAACAAAAACAAAAAACCGTTGAAACTTGTTGCTTGTTCCGACCGTAAAACCTGAGCGCCAAACCCTAAATCCAAGACTCTGAGTCCCAATACCACAAACACAATGGGTAGTTCTCTAAATTAGGGTCCCTTTTTAGGTCCCCATGATAGTACGGCACCCTTTAAGAAGGACCCTAAAAGGGACGCTAATTTATAGAACTACCCACATCCCAAGCCCACCATTTTTTGTTACACTTCATATATGCCGCAGGCCCCAAAACTCCAAGCCCAATCCCAGGCTTTACAACTTATATAACCCAACCCCCAAAATCCCAAACCCTAGAAATCCAAAGCCCATGTAGGTTTCAGTGTTGTGGGATTTCGTCTCGGTCGTCTTCGTCTTCTACGACCTCATCACGCTGCCCCTGCAGGCGCGAGCTGGGGTTTCCTAACATCGGAGCTATCTTATTGGCCTTCACTAAGGGTCCCACTATCTGAAGAGAAATCGCTTCAGAACTCTCCTTTTCGGCGTAGCGGAGGGAAGTGGAACCTTTCCTGCCAGTTACTGTCTTGGGATCTTCCAGTGGTTCAGGGTTCCCTAAACCCTAAACCCTGAACCCGAAACCCTGCACCCTGAACCCTATACCCAATAATCTCCGGTGCGCGAGGCTGAAGGGTGGCCTGGGTGTGCCCTAAGAAGCATTGTGAAAATTCTGAAAGACTGCGCAGAAAGGGTTTAGGGTGTTGGGGTTTAGGGTTTGATAAGCCCACGGGGTAGTTAAACTCATCGGCTGGGCACGGGGCCCCAGGAAACTCTAGCCGTCAGGTCTTCAGCTTCAGCAGCTGGTTTCTGTCTGCTGCCACTTGGCTGTGAGATTCCTGCCAATAGAGACCTAATATTGAGTTTTTTGAGCAACTGATGAGAATGCGCAGTTGAAAAAATACTACGGCATATGCATGAAATTCCGAAACACTAGCCAGATCATTCGGGCTACTATATGAAGGCTGTTAGCACATCTCAGGGTTCAGGGTCTTTTGTCTTTGTGTTTCATCTGCGGCTGATAGGTGCTGCATGTTGCTTTCGCATGGACTTTGCTTTTTCAATGCGTTAGGGGTATCCGAGCGTCGGCAGTGTTCTATGCCGGAGGCGCAAGAAAACGGCAAAGGGTCGGTTGCGAAAGGCTAGGCAGAAGGGAGGTTTGCATGTTCGAGAATGACATACAGTAAGGCACAGCTTCCATGAATCTTAGGTCCCACATTCTAAACCCCTTCGCCTCATATTCCTACCTGAACCCCTAAACCCTGAACCCTCGACCCTCAAAAACAAAGCCCTAAACCCCAAACCGCAAGTGTAAAGTCCTGGTCATCCGATCTCTGAGCAGATTCCTCAGGGTGACACGGGCGTGGCTTTGGTCTGGACCCTGGAGCCTGGCAAGCACTTCGGGAAGAGGTACAGGGTTTACAGTTTAGGGGGTTTAGGGTTTAGGGGTTTAGGGTTTAGGGTTTTGGTTGGGGATGATTTAGTTAGGCTTTGGGGCGTTAAGCTTGCCTGTGAGAGGCAAGCCCATTGCTGGCTCTCGCGAGGGAGAATACCTGACTGTTGGGCTGTGAACATAAATCCTAAACCTTGAACCCTAAACCCCAAACCGGTGAGCATTGTGTAATTATCCTGACAGAGTGTGGTGACCTGGGCCAGAGGAGACAGGCGTCCTATATCTTGAGAAGATCAGCTTGGGGTAGGGTCTAGGGTTTAGGTTTAGGGTTTAGGAACACTAACAGCACATTAGCCAACTGTTCGTGGCAACCTTGGCTTGGTTGTGCAGGGTTCCGAAATGGGAAGCCGGGATTGGTGTCGACTCTTTCCAGCCGGTTCTAGGCCACAAGCGCTGCACCCCGAATTCTATGTAACCCCTAAGGCAAAAAACAACACACCACATAAGCCTTAAGAAGTTATTTCCAGGCAGGGTTGCGCGGAAACTCAGCTGACTCAAGCTATTGGAGCCTTTGTCAAAGTTAAAGCATGATCTCGCAGCACCTTGTGCTCTAAGGACATTCTGGTTTCCTTCTTGCGTGGAGTGACGGATGGTGGGGCCGTGGACATGCGTCCCAGCTACGTTGCCATGAAGTACATCAGGACCGGCGTTGCTGCTGGGTTAAGGTGTTCACGGTTTTGGGGTGGCTAGGGGTTGAGGCCTCATGCCCGGTATATGCATGGCAGCAACCCACAAAACAGAATAGAGCCCCAGCCTGAAACCATCTGAATCCGATATAGGAACGTGTCCCTTCACAGTCCCGGCACAGTGCTTCCCGTCCGACCTCGAGGAAGCTTCGAAAGTTGTTTAGTTTGAATGCTCCGAAAAAATCTGAATGTTTGAGCAATGAGGGCTGGGCACTGACGGGATATACGACGCCATGGTGAGTTTGGGGAGTTTGAGGAAAGACTTGGGAGAACTTGTTGAGGTTCCGACATGGGGCCATTCATGGTTCAGAGTCTTTGGGTGTACGATTTCGATGTTTAAGGGTAATTCAGGGCTTAGGGTTTAGGGTTTAGAGGGACAGCAGTAGGAGTAGAAGTGGCGGCAGCAGAAGCCGCAGCAGCAGAGTTGAAGTAGCAGAGGAATGCTGCCCCTAGACTTAACCCCAAACCCGAAACCTCAACCCCTAAACCTTAGACCTTAACCTCCAGTATCGCTACAGACCCTGCCGGGCTGGTCCGAGTGTGAGTGTCAAAACACCCTGAGCCCCTGTTTTGCCCTAGCCCCTTTTCTCTTGGCAGGACCTGGTTCTGCGTGGATGTTTCCGTGGTGGTCACTGACTCTTGTCACATGAGCTTAAGGGCTAAGGTCTAAAATGCAACAGGTATAGCATACTATGTCGTAATATGATATGGTATAATATGATATGATGTAATATACACCTCCCACGGCAGTTTCGACATAGCAATAGCAATACAGTATCCAGCGGTACGAGTGGTAATGCTAAGGGTGTTTGCTTGAGTAGCAGTAGTAGCAGTACTTGGCAATGCTGTACCACCGGCAGTAGCGCCTGTCGTAGTCGTAGTAGTAGTAGTA